TACACATTTGCTAAAGGGAAATAGCAGCAGAGAATAAACAACTTGATTCCCCCAACATAAGAACAGAGCTACTTTAAAACAACAGAAACACAGTAGGCCTAATCTTGTCAATGGCTAATAAAACACTTGGCATCTTTAGAAAATTACTGGTTAAACTGGAGAAGGTGGAGATTTGTTGTGAATGATAAATGGAGATTATTAGTCTGGAAGGTGGCTCGTAATGGGTTTTCTTGGAAAGCAGCCTTGGAACTAATGTTAATATTTTTATTTCTGAAAGATGCATGTGGTACAAAATTTAGTGATACTATTGCAAAAGAAAGGTTAAGGTGTTTTACGTGAGGAAATAAATGACTGACTCCTACTAACTGATAAGTGGTATGAAAGTGCAAGGTGCTTCTGCTAACAAACCAACGAATGTTTTGGCATTGTAAATCTTCTATCTAGAAACAGCAGGGAAAAAAAAAAAAAAAAAAAAAAGGAAGTATTAGTTAATCACCAAAGTGCAATCCTCTGGAAATGGAGCATGTAGTTCTGTAACAGCTGCAGGGAAGATCTGATGGGTTCGTCAGGGAAACATTTCTTATAAAATGCTGAAAGCGTGGATTTTGTTTCATGAAAAATGGAAGATGGAACAGCGGACAAGGCTGTTGTCTTAAAATGATCTTTGTCCCCGAGGTGAATGTGTTTAAATGGGGCAAGTATAAATTTAGTTTGGAGATTACAAAACGTTCCTAAATCTCCAGAAGGTGAACTTCTGCCGCAGCCTTGCAGGTGGAATTGGGACAGCAGTGAGGTTTGGGGTGTGGGTTTGTATTTTTTGGTGATTGTTTTGGATGAAGTTGATCAATTTATGGAAGGCATTACTGCTTAGCTGCAAAACTGTTAACTACCTGATGACCCGGTAAATGCTTACAGTTTTATGTTTGGATAAACATCATCTTGATGATCATGGATAAACAGATCATCTTGAGTGCCATTATACAGCACATGCGGGACAACCGAGGATCAGGCCCAGCCTGCATGGGTTTATGAAAGGGAGATCCTGCTTCACTAACCTGGTCTCCTTCTATGACAAGGTGACCTGCTTAGTGGATGAGGGGGAGGCTGTGGATGTTGTCTACTTGGACTTTAGTAGGGCCTTTGACACTGTCTCCCACAGCATTCTCCTGGAGAAGCTGGCTGCTCATGGCTTGGATGGGTGCACTCTGCGCTGGGTTAAAAAATGACTGGACGGCCGAGCCCAGAGAGTGGTGGTAAATGGAGTCAAATCCAGTTGGCGGCCGGTCCCAAGGGGTGT